GGAGGCGCCGCCCGAGTGGGTGCGCGACCTGATGGACAGCGGGCTGATCACAGAGGTGGGTGGGGTGGGGTGGGGGGGTGGGGGGGTGGGTGCCTGGCTCATGTGTGGAGGGTGGGAGGACAGGGTTTGTGGTGTGGGGGCTGGGGGACAGGCTGGCCGGGATGGATGCGCGGGCAGGGCACACGCAGCGCTTGGGCTTGCCCTGACCCACGTGCCCTGGCTGCCCTCGGCCTCACCGCGGCATGCCCCCCTGCCTGCCACCACCACCCGCCCTCAGGTCCACAAGTCCTCCAAGTTCATTCATGGCACCGCGGTGCTGTTCCCAGACATGGTGCAGGTGTGTGTGGGGCGGGGGGGGGCACCCGCCTGCCTGCTCCCTTGCGCTGATGCCTCCCACGTGTGCGCTCGTTCCTCTCGGCAGCCTTGCCCCGATGTGTCGTTCATTCCGCCTTCCTGCCCCCTCCCCCACCCCTGTCCCAGGCTGTGCCCTACTGGATTGACGATGAGAGCATCCGCGCCTCCATCCTGGCCAGCGCGCCAGAGCCCAAGGAGATGGCCGCCCAGTGAGCGGCGCCCCGCTGGCAGGCCGGGGAGCAGCGCCGCCGCGGCTGTGGGGAGTGGCAGCGGGCGCACGGAGGCAACGCGCTGCGCTGGCTTGAGCCAGCTGCCCGCTGGCCCGCCCCTGACCCTCAATGCCTCGCCCCTGCCTCCCCTGCCTGCCTCATGTGCCATGTGTGTGCAGCGCCCGCGACGCTGTGGCCATCAGCCTGGCGGAGAACAAGCCTCGGCGGCGGCAGGCTCCGTCGGAGCCGCGGCACCCGCTGCTGGGCGAGCTGCCCACGCTGCGCCTGATGCGCAGCAGCACCATGGGCGGCTCGGTGACGCCACGTGAGCGCTGGGCTCGGGGGGCAGGGCCGGGCAGGAGCCACGCACCGTGCAGGGGTGTGGCACAGGCGGCTTGAGCCCACTCTTGAGCAAAGCAGGCACCCAGCATCGCACGCCTTGCTCCCATGCTGTGCTGCGCAGGCGCGGGGCAGACGGGCCTGATGGGCATGCTGGGCCTGCAGCAGCCCACCGAAGGGGTCCCGCAGGTACGACCCCGACGCCTCGCCCTGGTGCTCCCATGCCTCGCCCGCCCGCCCTGCCACGCCTCACCCTAAACCCTGCCGCCGCCATGCCGCCCCGCCCCTGCTCCCCGCAGCGCCTGGAGCCCAAGACCTTCCTCGCCTCTGAGCGCACCTTCCTGTCTTGGATGCACATGTCTGTGACCATCGGCTCCATCGCAGCCGCCCTGCTGGCCTTCTCGGCGGACGCGGTGAAGAGCACCAGCCCCATGCACGCGGTGAGCGGCGCCCGGGGGGCACGCTGGCGGCGCCGCCGCAGGACCCGCTGCTGACGCCGCCCGACGTGCCACCACCGCATGCATGCTCGCCAGCTGCTGTCCTGCGGACTTTCGTTGAGGCTGGCTCACACGTCCCCCTGCCCACCACCTCACCCCCCACCCCACCCGCCTCCCAACCTTGTCCCTCCCCACCCCCACCCCCGCCAACCACCCCTCTTCCCCAGGTGTCTGCCAACCTGGTCGAGATCATCGCCCTGGTGCTGCTGCCGCTGGCCGTGCTCATCGTGGCGTACGCGCTGGTGGTGTTTGTGTGGCGCAACTCGCAGATCGCCATGAAGCAGGCGTCGTACATCGACGACCGCAGGTGGGAGGGAGGGCGGGCGCGCCTGGGGGGCTGCGCTGAGGGGGCGAGCGCCTCGTGTGTGCCCTGGGGTGGCATGGCGCGCCTCGGGGCCCGTGCTGCCGGAAGCATGCGCCCATCTCACGCCCGATCCTGTCCCTGGCCGTGGTGCCCCCTCCCCCCCCCGCCCTGCAGGGGCCCCCTCCTGCTGGCGGGCATGGTGGTTGGCGCGCTGACCGCAATCTTCATTGTGTCCTGCATCGGTGAGCGGTGGCGGCGATGACCTGGGCGGCAGAGGCACAGCCTCCGTTGGCGAGCGGGTACCCAGGGACGGCAGCTCTCTCTCGTGGTGGAGGCATGGCAGCAGCATGCGAACCCGGGGTGGCAGCTTGCGCTGATTGTCCTCACCCCAACCCTCCTCCTGCTGCCTGCCGTGCAGACATGTGGGATGCCTATGAGGCTGGCAAGGGCAGCAACGGACCGCTCACCGGCTCCTGGGCCGCCCTGGATGCGGTGGCACGCAGCAACAGCAGCATCGCAACGCCGCACAACATCCTGCCGCAGGCGCTGTCGGTGCCGCTGGTGCTGGCCGGCGCGGGCGGGGCTGCAAGCTGAACGCATCCGCCTGGGTCCTTGTGACTTTTGAACAACAGCCGAGCAGTGTGCATTGATTACTGTAGCTGCCTTTTGCAACGGCTTACCACCTACCGCATGCCAGGGCCAACATGCCAGTGAACAGCTTGTGGGCTGGCGACGCTAGGTTGCACAATGGACACGCTCAGCCGCCGCCATGTGGCGGGCGCCCAGATGACGCTCGCTGCCACACTGGTTGCATTGGGCCCATGTAATGTTCGTGTACACGTACATTCTATGCTAGCCCGCTTGCCTGCGAATTGCAAGGGCTTCAGCCACAAGGAGCGAACGCAGTTTTCCCAGCGTCCTGCTTGCAGTGGCGCTTTGCGCGGTCATCTGGCGTCCATTTGAGCTGCTGGTTGACTGGGCTCGTCCCAGCGGCAGCGGGGGAAGGGTCCGATTGGGTGCCCGCTATGGCCGTCTGGTGGCAGACCCTTGTGGCGGCCCTTGGGGGCGTTGTAGGTGCGGGATCAAGCTGAAAGCTTGCCGCTGCACAAGTACACTCTTGCGCGGCGGCGGCGGCGGCGGCGGGGCGGCGGGACCTTGGGCGCTGAGCCTCCTCCACTTTACTTGCAGGCCTCATACTGTTTTTGTCGCCCGGCAAAGCAGTGCTGCGCGCCAGGAGTGAGCGCGTGCTCGGGGTGAGCAGGCCCCATGCACCTGTTCAGCCGCTGTTTCCCCGGAACGCCACTCGCCCCTGCCGCCACTCGCCCCTGCACCTTCTGCCCACAGGACTTGAACCCGCTGCCCTTCCCCGCCATCGCCGCCAACTGCGCGGGCTGGATCGCCTACTCCTACGTCACCAGCGATGTGCTGGTGCTGTGGCCAAACGCCGCCGGCTTCCTGTGAGCCCGGGCGCACAGGGATGCAGCAGGCCCGCTACCAGGGGGGCTTGGTGCATGCCCCGCCGGCGGTGGTCTAGCTCCCATAGTCCATGGGTTGTCCAGAGCACCTGCAGCCCGCACGCTCTCTAGAGCTTGAGAGAGTGGCTGATTCCCCTGCGCCCTGCCGCGCAGGCTGGGCATGTTTTACACGATGAGCGCGTACGGGCTTGCCGACACCAAGACGCGCGACCGCCAGATCGCCATCATGCTGCTCTTCTCGGCGGTCATCATCGTGGTGGGGTCGGTGGGCACACTGGGCCACATGTCGCAGCACGGCCTCAAGACGCTGTGGGGCTTCACCTCAAACGGTGAGGAGGGGGGCTGCGGCCTGGGTTGCAGCGGCGCTCGCAGCACTGCTGTGCTGTGTGCAAAGCCGATGCTGGGGGTCCTCCGTCAGTGCCCCACCCATGCGTCCCCTCCTCTTTGTTTGTCACCCTAGCTAACATCCCGCCACCCACCACACCACCACACCACCCGCCTGCAGCCATCCTGCTCATCTTCTACGCCTCCCCGCTGTCCACGGTGCTGGAGGTGGTGCGCAGCCGCTCCTCAGCCACGCTCAACCTGCCGCTGTCGGTGATGAACGTCATCAACGGTGGGGCCGCTGGCTTGCGGGGCAGCGCGGTTGCATGCCGGGGGCATGCCCCCGCCCCTCCCGCTTTCTGCAACCTCTCAGCTGCTCCACTGGACCGACTCGCTACCTGCCCCCCTGCCCCCTGCGACCCAACCCCCGCCTGCAGGCACGCTGTGGCTGGTGTATGGCCTTGCCATCAGCGATCTGTTCATCGCGGTGCCAAACGGGGTGGGAGCAGCACTGGGGATCGTCTACTGCGCCCTCCTCTGCGTCTTCCCTCACAAAGCAGCCAAGTGAGTGGGCGGCCACCCGGGCAGGCCGCTCAGCTTCCCTGCCAGCAGCAGCGCCCAGCGTGCTGGCGCACAGCTGCACAGCCGCATGGCGGCTGCCTGCCCACCCCTACCATCCCCACCACCCGCCCCCTGCTGCGCTAGGTGCAGGCGGTCGCCACCCAACTCCGACTCTAACACCACATCGTCGCGGAGGGAGCTGATGGTGGATGGCGGCGCCACAGTCAGCGGCGACCACGAGCTGGGACTGGCAGCTGCGGCGGTGGACGCGGACGGGGCGGGCGGTCCCGCTGGCGCGAGCCGTGTGTGACTCGAGGATACTGCGCTGTTTCTACGTGTGAACCCAGGATACTGCTGCGCTCTGTTCCCCTATATATCTTCATCACTCTTGTCCTTGCTTGGCACCCGCTCCCTGCTTCCTCTCCTTTGCCATCTAATCCCTGCTATCTACAATTTTGTTTCATCAACCCTTTGCGTCTGGGCGGCACATTTTGTTCAGCCCGCGCCTGACTGCGTGCCTGACACGGCACTGATGCATGCAAGCACATTACATAGCATCGGGCATGCATGTACAACAAAATGCAATAAACGACAGGTCAACTGAAATACAAAAGCAAGCTGCAGAGCGTCAAAATCACACGATGGAGGCGTTCATTCTGCTTCAACAGGCTGAACAGTTTGTACAGGCATGCGTTTCAGGTATGGCGGTGCCACCTCACCGCCGCCGCTTCTGGTAGCCCTGCTTGCGCTGCAGCCACTCGCCCCGCTGCTGCCAGTCCCACTGCTCCTGCAGCCGCCTCTCAACCAGCATCGCCTCCTCCGCAGATGCCTCCAGCTGCCTCCTGCTCCTGCGCTGCGCGCCCATGCTTCTGATGCTGGCATCTATGAGCGCCGACAGCGCGGCGCGCCGCTCCTGCACCTCCTCCACCCCCGTGAAGGCATCAAAACGGAAGGCCAGCCAGATGTAGAGGTCATGTACCCGGTGGGCGGCCTCCAGCTGCAGCCAGGCAGGAAGGCAGGGAGCGTCAATGTGCCAGCTGACAGCTGGGGGGGAGTCCCGGATCAGGAGCCTGAATCAAAAGCACGCATACACCCGCCCGCCTCCAGCCGCACACCTGCTGCAGCTCCATCTCGCTGCGCGCCTCGTGCACCGGGCCGTGCAGGATGGCGGCGGGCGAGACGCGGCCGCGGTGCGCATACACGGTGGCAAAGGTGAGCAGCGCGGAGGCCACGGGCGCGTCGTCTGGGTCGGCGGGCGAGATGCTGAAGGCCCAGGCCTCGCGCAGGCTGAGGGGCAGGTGGCGCAGCATGGTGGCCAGCGTGTACTGCTCCTCGTACCGCGCATAACGGTATTGCGTGCGCGCCAGCGAGCCCTGCGCCGCCTCCTCAAACCGCCGCAGGATGGCAGGCAGCTTGTCCTGCAGAACAGGAGCAGCAGGCATGGGCGGGCAAGGGCTGGGAGACCTACGGGCACCAGCCGGCACGGCCGGCGAGGCTGTGCACCACATGGGCTTGCCAGCCCGACCCCCAACTGTGCCCCATTCCGTGCCCCGGCGTACCGCTGGGTGCTGCCCATGCAGCATCTCCAGCTGCGCGAGCGAGGGCAGCAGGTAGGCGCTGGCCAGCTCCTCGCTGGGCTGCTGCAGCGCAGCGGCCAGGCGCTCCAAGTCCTCGGGCGTGGTGGCGGTGGCGATGCCGTCTGGGAAGCGCGAGCCGTAGCGCCCCGCCCGCCCCGCCACCTGCTTGATCTCGGCGGTCGTCAACGCCCGCTCGGCGGTGCCGTCGTACTTGGAGAGGGAGGTGAAGATGATGCGGCGGATGGCCAGGTTCAGGCCCATGCCCACCGCGTCTGCCGGCAGGAGGCACACGAGGGCAGGCGGGGCAAGCATCTGACAAAACCGCGCTTGCCCCGCTCAACAACCACAGAAATCGACTTGCCCTCCTTAAGCACAGCAACCGCCCAGGCTCACCAGAGGCTGCCAGGACATTGAAGCCAGTCCTGGGTGTGTTGAACAGTGAGGCCTGCAGCTGCCTGGCATCGGGCGGCAGCGCCCCGTACACCACGCAGCAGCGGTGCTGGCCGTACCCCTCAATCTCCTGTCTCAAAGCGTGCACGTCGCGGCGGCTGAACGCCACCACGCAGTCGCCGCGCTGCACCTGGGACAAAGAGGCCAGCGGGCGGCGGGCGGCCACCAGCGGCGACAGCCGCTCATAGCGCCGCACCTCCAGCCGGTCGCCTGCGGCATGGCCAAGGGCCAGAGAGCGGGAGATGGAGGCAGCCAGCTGGGTACTACAAACCGCCTGCGGTCGGGAAGACCGACAGACAGCGCCCCACAAACGCCTGGTTTCCACCTGTCTCAGCCACGATCTGCTCCAGCAGCGGCAGCGCTGCCGGGTCGCCGCACACGTGCAGCGTCCTGGCGGGCACGCCCAGCAGCGCCCGTGTGAAAGCCCAGCCCCGAGACTCGTCTGCTATCATTTGGATCTCATCCAGAACCGCCACCTCAACCACGCTGCGAGTGGACGCCATTTCGGTGGTGCAGGCAGTGTGCGCGGCGCCCTCGTCCCGCCGCTCCTGACCCGTCACCAGGTTGCAGGGCAGGCCGCTGCTGGAGAGCTGGTCGTGCACCTGCCAGGCCAGCAGGCGCAGCGGGCCGCAGTAGATGCCGCTGGCCGCGCGCCGCAGCTCCTGCAGAGCTGCGTGTGTCTTGCCGCTGCGGGTGGCGCACGTTGGGGTCAAGGGTGGGGTCACTGGAAGCACACAAACCTTTTGGCAAGTGATTTGGCAAGTGATGTGGCCAAAAAAACAGCAGAACAAACCAGCCCGCACCTGTTGGTGGGCCCCAGGTGCGCCACCACCGTGCGCTCCAGCGCGCGTGCAGTGGGGAAGAAGGAGGCGGGGTTGCCCAGGTCCGTGATGGCCTCGGTGTAGCTGTCAGCAGCCCCCACCGCGACAGCAGCGCCTGCAGCGACAGAGGCACGTGTCAGAGCGCCACGGGCAGCAGGAGGCGGTGGCGGCAGGTGGGAAGCGGTGGCATTTAGAGTGCGATCTGGAGTGCTCATTCAGGCATCCCACCGCTATAACTCCTCCAGCAGGCCTGGGAGGCCCTGGGGAGGGCAGTGGCGGCCCAGCGCCCCCACCCCATACTGCTGGGGCCAGCAGGCGCGACGGGACGCCGGGAGTGATGAGAGATCAATGTGAGGGGCCATCTGACGCGTGTGTGAGCCGTGTTTCGAGCACCCCATTTTTGCCAGCTCGGACTCTCCTGTTAACCAGAGGAAGCCTTGGTTGGCCTCCGCTGCATGTTGAGACACGCTGCAAGCCGAATTAGCCCGATTCTGCAGTCGGCACGCAGCGCCTTTGCAGAACCCTGCACACCTGCAGCCATGCTGCTCCGAAAGCGCAAGCCAACAGCAGCAGCAGTAGAGGAAACGGCAAAAGGGCGTCCCAGACGCGTGGCAGGGCGCAGGGGCCTGCAGTCGGGGGCAGCGGCGACAAGCGACGACCCTCCCGCCGCCCCTGCTGACACGCCGGTAGCGGCAGAGGCGACGAGGAGTAATCAGCGCAAGACGCCCCAGGACATCGGCATTCCCACGCTGCTGCTGGGCGGCGGCATGAGCGTGCCGGCGGCTACTGAGGCCATAGACCACCTGCCGCTGGCGGCAGCTGGTTTCACCAAGGCAACGCTGCAGGCCGCCTGCGAATTCTTGGCGAAAGCGGACCCAAGTGGGTGGAGGATGAGGCAGCATTGTTGCATGCAGAACTCCCAGCAGGTGTGCCTGTGCCCAACCAACACTATTGGACCTCCCCTTTAGAGCTGGCGCCCCTCATCGAGCAGCACGGCCCGCCAGAGCACCTGCTGCGCAAGACTGGCAGCAACTTTGCCACGCTTGCCAAGGCAATCGCTTTCCAGGCAAGCTGGGGAGCTGTGCGAGCACGCTCGGGAACTAGAACCGCCTGAAGCAGGCTCGAAGCACCACATGGGATTGCTGTGACTGCTTTCTAGCAGCGTAGCATCTGGTTCCCACCCCCAACCCTGCCTGCCTGCCCGCAGCAATTGGCCACCAACGCGGCCGCTGCCATCTACAACCGCGTGCTGGCGGCTTGCAGCTGCACCGACACGCTGACACCCGAGGCGCTGCTGGCGGCGCCCGCTGGGGCGCTGCGTGCGGCTGGGCTGTCCGAGAGAAAGGCCGGCTACATGGCTGACCTGGCGCGCCACTTCAGCGATGGCCGCCTGTCTGACGACAAGATTGGGGCGATGGAGGAGGCGGAGCTGGAGGAGGCGCTGTGCGCCGTCAAGGGCATCGGACTCTGTGCGTGGTGCTCAGCCCGCCCGCTCCGATCTCAGCCATCCTGCACTGCCGCCAGCCACGAGGGCATCGTGCTGCTAACTCGTTGCTCCTCTTGCTGCTGCCGCTCTGCAGGGACCTGTCACATGGTGGGCAAGAAGGGAGGGCTTGCATTCCCTTGGAGCTGGCTGAAGGCTGGGCTTGCGTAGCATGCCCCACCTCCCCATTGAACCACCTTACCCTGCTGCTCACAGCCCCATCCGTGCGCTCCGTGCCTGCAGCATGCCATGTTTCATCTCGGGTCGCCTGATGTTCTGCCCACCGGTGACTTGGGAGTGCGCAGAGGCATGCAGCATCTGTATGGCCTCAAGGCAAGTGCTGCTGGCAACGATGTGCATGTGAATATGAATGCGTTTCACAGGGAGCAGCAAGCCCGGCAACCTGCACCCTGCTTGCTTCACCGCGCCACGCTGGGTGCAGGAGCTGCCCAGCCCTACCGCCATGGAGGCGGTGGCAGAGAGCTGGCGCCCCTACAGGTCCCTGGGCACATATTTCATGTGGAAGGTGGACGTGCCGCGCTCCTCTCCAGGCAAGAGCAAGAAGGCAAAGAAAAAGGAGACGTGAGGTTTCCAGCAGCTGGACAGCAGAAAAGCAACTTGCAGTCACTGCAATGGCAGCACCAGGCTTCTGCTTTCACGCTCACGAACCCCATCTAGCCTGCTGTCAGCGCCCATTGTAACCATCCCATGCCTGGCGGGCAAGCGAGGAGGCTCACCTTTTCTCAACTGATGGCAACATTGGAACCGATGCCACCCAGTCATCAAGGTGGGTATTGCATGCCAATGACGATTTGCAGAATTTTGTTCATGCAAGCTTGTCATGCATACTCTGACCGACTGAAGTGCAGGGCACCAGATGCTTTCCGTCGGCGGTAGCTGGACCCAGCTGGCGTTGCCGTCACTCCACACTCGGACCCCTGTGGCTCCAGCAGCATGCCATTCAGGTGCAGCGCTGCTGCATTCACACAGACAGCCGGGCTCCCTGTGAAAGAGTCTGCTCCGCCGATGTGGTACCGTGCGCTGCGAGGCGGCGGCGGCAGGAGGAAAGAACGGGGTTCGGTGACTCGGAATTCGGCCTCCCCTGCTGAATCGTCCCCCATCGCCTGGTACTATTAGATCCAGCGAGCCTCTGCGGAGCCTCTGCTGCCGCACGGGACCCCCCGGCTGCACGGCCAGTCAAACTCTTTCGGACATCGCGACCGACCGCGCAATGGGCGCCGTCAGAGGGGCCGCCCTGGCCCTGTGCCTGTGGTCCCTGATTGCCCCGAGTATGTGCTGCCCCGGGGGAGCTCCAATTGCGCGGATCGTTGGGATGGCCATGCTGCGCAATTCAGTTTCGGGGCCATTGACTGCGCCTAGTTCCCTTCCTACAGGCCTGGCGATGGATAATACCTTCTGCTGGAAGGAGGGCGAGTGCATACTCAAGTGGGTCGTCTGTTGCTGCCGCGCGCAAGACCCCGCCCTTGCCGCTGCTTCTCCCACCCGCCTTGAAGCGCAGGCAGCTCCCATCCATCCGCACAGCCAACCCCACCACCCGCTGTGTGCAGGGGCGAGGTACACGCAGTGTGCGCCCCGCTGACCAGCCAGACCGCCTGCGCCGGCTCCGACCACTGCATGTGGCAGGAGCAGGACAGCCTGCTGGATCTCAACGGTGAGCGCCCGCCCGCCCCTGCCTGCCCTCACAGCAGCACGCGGCCACTGCTGTGTGTACACCAATCCCTGCCGCCTGCCCCTCTTGCCTACCTGCCTGCTGCCTCACCTGGCTGCTCCTGCTGCAGGCGACATGTCCCCCAGCGACCTGGCCAAGGTGCTGTGGCCCGCACAGTTCAACCTGTCGCTGGCCGAGCGAGCCTGCTCGGACGCCTCCTCCAACGACACCTGTCCGACCACCTGCCACGACTACCTGGCCCAGGTGGGTGGGTGGTGGGTCGATGGGGGCATGCATTGTATGGGCGTAGCAGGCTCCCACCATGTTTGATGGGGGTGCGTTGCGAGAGCAGGCCTCCCGCCGCGCAACCCACAACTGCCTCCACCCCGATTGGCTGCCTGCAGCTGGGCAACCGCGTGGTTGGCGAGGCCGTTGCCGCCGCCTGCAACCTGTCCACCTGTGATGCCGAGGGCGTCTGCTGGGACACTGACGCCCAAGCGGTGAGCGCGCGGGCATGCCTGCTGGAATGCGCGGCTGTTTTGTGCCTCCTGTTGCCAGTTCTGCACACGTTCCGCCATGCCGTCAACTCTTCTCCGCTCTGTTAGGGCTCTGACTCCCATGCTGCCACCCCATGCCCATCCTGCAGAGCTTCAAGGCTATGTTCCACACCATTGCCACCACCTGCACCGGCCAGGACTTCCCCAGCTGCTGGCCCTCGGGCGGCCGCTGCGCCGCGGTGGACGTGTGCGAGGGGCTGGATGAGAGCACCTGCGCCGGCGCCACGCTGGAGGAAGGCGGGTCCCTGGTGGGTCCTCTTCCCAGCAGGCGTCCGATATGTGCAGCAACCACCTCTGCCCCGCTCTCCTTGACTTTGTTGACCATGCACCCCCTCCCTGCTGCCCTGCAGGTGTGCAACTACACCACCATGCTCCGCTGCTCCGAGGCGCCCTCCCGCCCCGGCACCTCCCCTCCCAATGGCGGCTCGCCCGGCGGCGAGGGCGGCGACCCGTGCCAGTACAGCCAGGACCCGTGCTGCCGCCGCGCCGACTCCTTCACCACCTGCGTCATCGACTCGCCCCCCGAGGACTCTTGCTACTTCTACAGCAACGGCTGCCAGACCGACTACGGGCTGTGCTCCAGACAGGTGCGCCCTGACGGGGCGGGCATGGCCGGCCACCACCTGTGCCCGTGAGTTGGCAGCAGCGGGCTGAGCCTATTCGTCAACTGCTGGATGGCTGACCAATTCCCCCCCCTTCTGCCTTGCTGCCTGCCTGCAGGCGGACAGCAACTCCTGCAACAGTCTGTCTCAGTCTGGCTGCTCCTGGGTCGACACCTCCAGCGGAGGCATGCCCTACCCCACCAGCCCCCTGCCCCAGTCACCCGGCAACCCAGCAGGCACTCCCACCAGCCCCAGGCCGGAGTGGCCCACCAGCCCCAACGGCACCTCCGGCTCTTGGCCCACCAGCCCCGTGCCCAACCCTGACGTCCCCCATGGCTCCGCCCACTGGGAGGTGGGACCTGCCTGGAGCAATCACTGTGCCTGCGCCTTCACTCCACCACCATGCCAGCCGGGCATCCCTGCGCACCGCTATGAACAGCGCATTCCTGCGCTGTGCCGCCTGCAGATCTGGAACATCCCCGAGCTCCCTCCCGGCTACTTCACCAATGATACTGACCGGTGGTGGAACCGCCCTGAGGACGGCGGCCACGGCCCCTTTGACATGCTCACCCCGCCCATCGCCAACACCCTGCTGGAGGCCAAGGCCTCGGGCCCCGTGTGCCAGGCGCTCACCAGCCTGCTCCAGACCATGTCTGCTGGCTTTGATGGGTGAGTGAGTGAGCGGGTGGGCGGGTGCCTCTGATGCGCTGGTGCTTGGTCACAGCAGCTCACTGGGGGCGCATGTTCTGTTCTGCCGCCTGCCCTGACCAAGCTGGAGTATCCCCCCGGCTGCAGGGCGTGCGAGGTGGCCGGCCTGTGCTCCGACACCTACCTGCCTGCGCTGTACCAGATCAGCAGCCAGCTGGAGGAGTCGCTGTATGTGCCGCTGGACCCCTGCGACATGTGCAACGAGATGCTCGTGGGTGAGGAAGGCAGGCGCCTGGCGTGGCTGCGGCGGATGGCTGGTGTGGACCTGCCCCGCCTGGCTGTGCTGCCAGACGCACAGCGCATGCCTCTGCACTCCACGACTGTGCCCTGCTCCTCACTGCTCCGCAGACCTGGTTCCCATGCTGGTGAACGAGACTGGCATCGACCTGGTGCGCCTGCTGGGCGCCGTCGGCGCCGCCGGCATGGAGGCGTTTGGCTCCGCCTGCCCCAGGATGGTGGACGGCCTGCTGTGGGTTGGCAAGTACTTCGACTTCCTGCCGGGCCCTGCCCACCCCGTGGCCGCAGCTGTGTGCCCCGCCTTCCAGGTGAGTGTGGCGGATTGGGAGGCAATCTTGCAAGCTGCCGGCGCCATGTCTGCATGAGCCGCCCTGATGGGCCAGCAGGACCATGCCCGCTGACCATCCTGCCATGTGCCTTGCTCCTCTGTGACTTGCAGGCGGTGGTGGCGGCCGCTCCTCAGCTGGTGACTGACCTGAATCGAACCTGCGAGCTGCTGGGCGAGCCGCACGATTGCCTGGACACCCTCACCTCCCTGCTGCGCCCCCATGCCGACTTTGAACCTGCGACTGCTGCCGCCAAGATCTGCTACGCCAAACTGCCAGAGGCCTTCCTGCCTCCCAGGTGCGGTGCCTGGCCTGTGTGCTGCTGCAGCAGGCGGTGCCATGGCAGTCAGTAGGGGGCTGCTGCTGCGCTGCGCCATGCAGGGAGCCTGAGTATCACCAAGAGTATCCTGGCACCGAGTACCATCCACAACAGCAGTACCCTAGTGACCAGGAGTACCACCCCGAGCAGTACCCTGAGTACCCGCAGGGAGAATACCCGGCGGGCGGATATCCCGAGGGCGAATACCCCCAGGGCGAGTACCCGGCTGGAGACTACCCCCAGGGCCAGTACCCTTCCGAGTACGCTCCGTACACGGCAGCTGGCGTGCAGTCCGGCACCTCTCCCTCGGGCTACTGCGCGATGGTTGGGCGCCAGCCAGAGTGCACGGCTCCCGACAGCGCCAGCTGCTCCACCCTCCCCGGCTGCCGCTGGAACGCCTACTGCCAGCAGCAGCAGTGCGGCGAGCAGGACTACTGGTGCCAGCAGCGCCGGGCCTCCCTCCCCGTCTGCGCCCCGCTGGTCAAGGCGCTGCAGCCGGCCAGCGGCGATGGCGACGCGCCCATCCCCCTTGCTGAGGTGCGCTGCTTAGTACAGGAGGTGGTGTTACATGTGACGCTTGGGGCCCTGCCCTGCCTTCGCTTGGCGTTCTGAAAGTCACAGTCTCACCTGCCCTGTGCACCATCCTCGCCATGCCCCTGTGCTGCAGGTGTGCAAGAGCATGAGCATGTGCACTGGCACCAGCGACAACTCGCCCGCCTGCGGCGCCTGCAAGACGGCCTTCTCCGAGACCATCGCCAGCATCAAGTACCAGCAGCAGCACAGCTACGGCAGCGGCAACTACGGATATGGATACAGTGAGTGGGATGCCGAGCAGAGAGGCAGTGCGGGTTGCTTGCAGTCATTGCGGCCATGGTAATCCAAGATCACCTGCAAGATGAACTCGAGCAGCGCCGCCTGCCATCTCCTGCACTCCCCAGCCCTGACCAAGCTCTTTACTACTGCTGCTGCTGCTGTGCGCCTGCTGCAGACCCCCAGGACATGGCCTTCTCCCAGTGCAGCAGCACCATGTCCCGCCTGACTGCCATGAAGTCGCAGTGCGACGCCTACTCCACCATCGACGCCTCGGCCGCCGACCCGGCGCAAATCTGCCAGGCCCACGCGTCTGCCCTCTGCCAGGTGCGGCATGATTGGAACTCGCCGGCCTGCTTTGCACCTAGTGTCTTGACACTCACTTTGGGTTCGTGGTCGTGTGGTGTGCAGGCATCCGGCAGTGACGGCTCCGGCTCCTCGGCAAGCTCACCCAACTGCGGCTTCTGCACCACCCTGCTGTCTGCCTACAAGGACCTTGCTGCTGCCGGCATTTTCGGCGGGTCCAGCGGCCTGACGGAGCTGTGCTACACCACCAGCCAGTGGGGCGGCAGCTCCGAGGATAACCTGCGCATGCAGCTGCAGTGGCGCTACGGCTGCTCCCCCTCCCAGTCCTCCTGCTGCGCCGAGCTCCCCGCTGACTCCTACCTGGCGTCCGTGCTGGACATCAGGGGCCTCACCCCGCAGTCCACCTCCGAGTGCGAGGAGCTGCCTGGCTGCACTGCCGGCGCCTACTGCTGGCCCACGTGGGGCGCCGACGCCTGCCAGTCCCTGTCCAGCCCGTCCGAGTGCCAGGCGGACAAGCAGTGCCAGGTGGGCTCTTGAGGTTGGGGTTGGTGGGGTAGCCAACGCATGTGAGGTGGATATGATGGTAAAGGAATGCTTATTGGGTAGGCATGTGTCCCGTGCACGTCGCCCTGTGCTCACTGCCAAGTCCCTGCTCCCACCTCTGTGCTTGCAGTGGTTCGCCTGGAGCTCCGATGGCCTGCAGGGCAACTGCGTGGATGCTGCGCTGTCCGCCAAGTGCCGCCTGGCTGGTGAGGCGCGGGCGGCTGTGCCCTTTTGGGCTGCCTGAGCTGACTACATCAGGCTGTGAACGGCAGCTGTGAGAATGCCGGCCAACCTGAGCGGTGTGCGGTGCTACACCTGCTGCATCTGCAGGCCAGCAGGACGGCAGGTCTGGCTGCCTTGGCATCAAGGACGACCAGGGCCTGTCCCAGTGCTCCTACTTCCAGGCAAGACGACAGCTTGGCGGGGCTCTTGGGGTGCACCACAACGCTGGCCTTGCATCCCACAGCATCGTATGTCCCCTGCCTCCTGCCCCACCCCTGTGGCGGTGCAGGCCTGCTACCAGGACTGGTCGATGCGCCAGTGCGACGACAGCAACGCCTGCTGCCTGAAGCCCGTAGAGCTGTTCCAGCCAGACGCCCCCCAGGCCTGCTCCAACGAGACCAGCAGCCAGGCAGTCTGTGACTACACCACGCAGTGCCAGACCAGGTGGGGCGGCTGTGGGGGCAGTGGCTGGAGATGCCGGTGCCTGGGTGCGCCTTGGTGCTCGTCACATCACACCCCCACATTCCTTTGCAGCGTGACCAGCCTGCTGGCATGCCTCACCCTGCTGGCATGTCTCACCCTGCTGGCATGCCTCTGCTGCGACACAGGTACGACCCCTGCAACGCCTACATCTCCCAGTCCACGTGCGAGCTCAGCACCACCTGCAGCTGGAGGAGCATGAAGCTGCAGGGCTACCCCTCCTACGGTCAGTGTGTGAGCGCAGGGGCGGCGCCAATCCGGCCCGCACTGCTGCCTGCTCGACTGCCGGGCTGCTGGCCCCACCACCAGCCCACTTTCGCCGCCTGCTCACCGCAACCCCGTCCCGCCCTGCCACAGGCTGGTGCTCTTCCACCCGCGACTCCTGCTGGGACTACAGCAATGAGTGAGATCTGCTGCCTTTATTGAACAGTGGAGCAGTGGCAGCCACGCATTCCTGCTGCCATTCCTGCTGCTTATAAGATTGACCTCTGCCATCTGCCACCCTCTGACCTGGGCCCCTCCCTCCTGCCTGCAGCCCGGAGGCCTGCACCAGCGCCCCCAACTGCCGCTCCGTGCCACGCTGCGACGTGTCGTACTGCCAGGAGAACGACCAGTGCTGCCTCATCCACTCCGCCGCCGAGTGCACCGCCACACCCGGCTGCGCCACCAGCGGCTGGTGCAGCCTGACTGCCTCAGACTGCTGGCAGGCCTGGGACAGCCAGTCGTGCTCCGCCGCCCCCGGCTGCACCTGGCAGAGCTACGAGTACACGCAGGCCGACGGCACCAGCGCCAGCGGCGGCTGGTGCAGCGTGGGGGAGGACCCCTGCTCCCCGCACTACGGCTCACCCATCGCCTGCGCCGCGGTGCGCGACCCGCGCCGCGGCACCCCCCTCTGCCACTACCAGAGCTCCTGCTACGACGCCTGCCGCAACTGCCGCGAGTGCATGGATGGGGTGGGCAGCTTCATCTCAGACGTGCTGCCCAGCCTGAACGGCGACACCACCAAGTATGCGCAGGCCATCCGCGACTTCTGCAACCAGGTGAGGGTGTGTGTGTGATGAGTGTGTGCCATGTCTATCACATGCCATGTCGCCCCGTGCCGTGCCGCCAGCGAGACCCGCCACTGCCTGTGCCTGCCTCGCTCCCTGCCTGGACTTGATCCAAAGAGCGTCCTGCCCTGCCTGCCTCCCCCTGCGTGCAGGCCGGTGGGGACTACTGGACTTGCTTCCAGGCCTACCAGACCGCCGTGGCCCACCCGGAGGCCGTCACCCGCCCCGCCTCCACCTGCAAGGCCATCGGCATGTGCAGGTGGGTGCGCCCCTGGTGCCAGCCAGCTCTCTTGCTTGCTTCGCACTGCTTCAACCAGCCTGCGCAACCCTCCTGCGCTCGTTGCACCCCCACCTGCGTGCAGCTCCCAGTGCGTGGCCACGCTGGGCCTGCTGACCTGCTCCACCGACGGCTCCGCCGAGGGCGCCATCAGGCCGGCGGCGCCGCCTGCTGGCGTCTGCAAGACGCAGACTGGCTGCACCACGGCACAGAGCTGCGACACCAGCGAGTGCACAGTGCTGAGCCAGGTGGGCGTGGGGGAGGAGCTGGGGTCCTGGAGGTGCCGAGGGCCTTGAGTTTGCAATGGCCGAGCGGCAGCTCGGCGGAACTGTGGAGCTAGGCATGGGCTCCCGCCTCACCAGGCATTGCCTGCCCCTGTGCTGCAGTGCGATTCCCAGACTGGGTTTGACATCAAGTCGTGCGGCGGCACCTGCGTGAGCAAGTGCGCCCTGCTGGACCCCCTGCTGGCCAAGCTGAACAAGGGCACCTGCCAGACCAACGAGTGAGCTGCCAGCACAAGCCCTGTCCTTGGCATTGCGGGCATGGGAGACGGAGAGGCACGCGCTGGGTTTGTGGCTGTCCTGAAAATTGAAGGTGCCCACTGTGCCTGCAGGGACTGCACTGTGGAGGGCGAGACCTGCACCCCGGTCGTGGGCCGCACCTGCAGGCAGTCGGTGTGCAACATCGGCACCGGCGCCGTCACCACCGTCGGCTGCGCCGGCTTCTGTACCTCGGGCGGCGCCCCCAGCCTGGTGTCTGCCACCCTGACGGGCGACGGCCGCCAGATCGTGCTGGCCTTTGACCAGGATGTCACCACCGTGGCCTCCAGCTCCCCCACCGCCTACTTTGCCAACAGCACTGTGGTCAAGCTGGGCAGCTACAGCCAGGTCTACCCGCAGGCAGAGGAGCCCAAGGCGCTGGTGGTCTACCTGGGCTGGGGCGCCACCATCGACATCGACGACGCCCTGGCCCTGGCCGCCTCCCCCGCCATCGCCGGCCGCCTCAACGGCAGGCTGGTCGCTGGCGGCGGCGCAGTGCTCCTGCAGGTGTGCCTCTAGGTGCCCTTGCTGGCTCATCTACTGCCTCAGCATGCGCCTCGCTGCCCCACCAACTTGATGACCTGCTGGTCCCCTGCAGGCACCCGAGGCTCCCGAGCAGCCTGTTGCCTTTGTGTCCGGCCCCAGCTCGGTTGGCGCGGGCTGCACCTTTGGCAGCGCCGCAGACGTCGTCATCGACGCCTCCCGCACGCCCTTCTCTGCCGGCCGCCCCGTATTGTATACCTGGCAGTTTGTGGGCGCTGCCAGCCAGCGTGCCGCCCTGGACCAGCTTGCCACCGAGGCCAGCGATGCCGACAGCCCGCGCCTGGTGCTGCCTGGTGCCACGGTGGTGGACCTGTCGGCAGGCACCTACACGCTGCGTGTCACCGTGGAGAACTGGCTGGGCGCCAACGGTGAGGCTGCTTACTTCTGCCGTGCGGGTGCTGCCGTGCACCTGGTGCCGAGCACCTGCTCGGGTGCCTCCTCACCTCCCTGCCTGCCACGCCCTTGACCTGCTGTGCGATTGCACTCCCTGCCCCGCTGTGCAGCCTCCGCGGACTTTGCGTTTGAAAAGGTGGCCTCCGTGCTGCCGGTGGTGGCCGTCATCGGCGGGTCGGAGCAGGAGTTCTCTGTGGCCAGCGGCATCCGCGTGCAGACCGCCATCGACCTGTCCACCGTCTGTCCAGGTTGGGAGGGAGGCAGCCGGTGCCAGCCAGCCAGCCAGCCAACCAGCCAGCTTGCCAGGCGATGCATCCGTGTTCCTGCAGTGTCCCCTCCAGCCATCCTCCCCCCTGGCTGTTGTTCGCTGCAGGCCGGCGTGTGACCTACTCGTGGGAGGAGACCAGCGGCTTGCTGCCGGCGGGCTCCTTCTCGACCACCAAGGCCAACTTGGCCGTCAAGGTGGGCAGCAGATCACGCTGGCGAAGCTTGGTGTGGAGCGGAGAGCCAGCCTGCCTAACTCACAGCATGACCGGCACACCCATGGTGCTCATTGCAGGGCCCTGTGACCGGCGTGACGGGCGGCAGCGTGCTGACCTTCGCCTTCTCCGCGACCCTGGAGGGCGCGGGCACCACCACCGCCGACCTCACCCTGACCGCCCGCCAGTCGCGCGTCATGGCGGTGCTGGCGGGCCCACGCGGCGACGTGCTGGTGCGCTGGCTGCCTCCGCGCCCTGTGCTGATCACAGCCCGCAGCTGCCGGCTGGCTGTTCCTTCCGGCAAGCAGTGCGGGCTGAGAGCAGCGTGGCGTCGTTTGTGCCCTGTCACCTTGTGTTGCAGGACACCCGGACCCTGACCTTCAGCGGCAGCGGCAGCCTGGACCCTGATGACGCCAGCAACACCCTGGCCCCCTTCCGCTTCTCCTGGGCCTGCACCGCCACCGACCCCGCCACCCAGCTGAGCACCCCCTGCTTCACAGACCCCGCCACCGCTCCCGACATGACCGCCAGCCAGCTGGTCATCTCGCCCGGCCTGCTGCCTGCGGGCGACAGCCTGTACACCATCTCGCTCACCGCCGCCAAGGGCAGCGGCCTCAGCACACGTACCGACACCGACACCACTGCGCTGCGCGTGCTGGCGGGCGCCGCACCCACCGGCAAAATCAGGTGGGGGTTGCGACTCCCTGCCTGCCTGCCTGCCTGCCTGCCTGCCCGGCGCCCTGCCGTGCTGTTGCTGCCCCCACTTCACAGTCTGGATCCCATCACACTCCTGGTGCTCCTGCCTTTGCCTATGACCCCCCGCAGCCGCTTCTGCCCCGGCTGGAGCGGGTGCACCTCCAAGCAGCACACGCCCAGCGAACCCCTGCGCCTGGTGTTTGCCCTGGACGACCCCTCCCTCCTGCCCCGCACCACCTTCTCCTGGGTCTCCTCTGACCTGTCCCTTGCCACAGCCGCCACCACCACCAAGCAGGCCCTGGTCATCCAGCCCTTCACCGCCGCAGGCAGCCCCGTCTTTGTGGACGGCGCGGTGAAAACCATCAACGTCACCGCCACGGCAGGTCCGCGCGCTGGAAGTGGGCAGGGAGCGCTGCCGTGCTGTGCTGTGTGTGCCGTGGAGATGCTCGCTTGAAGGTGCACCCTCCTCACCATGCCGCCCTCCTGCCTGCCTCCCGTGCCTGCAGATGGCAAGAATGCCACCGCCAGCATCACCGTCTCCATCGCGCGCCGCCCCTCGTGCACCGCCACCTCAGGCACCTGCCTCACCGTCTCCCCCGCCTCGGGCCCCGTGGACGTCACCAGCTTTGTGGCCACCGCCGCTGGCTTTGCAGCAGACAGCGCGCTGTTCTACGACTTTGGGCTGCAGCTGCCCAGCGGCAAGGCCGACCTCTTCACCCGCTCCGCCACCGACAGCCGCTTCACCTTTGCGCCGCGCGTGCTGGCCGAGGGCACACACACCCTGTTTGTGTGCGCCAGAGGTGCGTGGGGTTGGCAGTCTGTGGAGCTGACGGGCTGGCCATGAAGGGCTGGCGGGCAGCGATGGTGCACTCATCTGCCCAGCGCTCAACCCCCTCCTCCTGCTGCCCTCCCTTTACAGACCAGACCGGCGCGCAGGCCTGCTCCACTGCCGACGTCGACGTCGAGCCCGCAGCGCAGCAGGTCACCGCCGCCGACATCACCGCTCTGGGTGACAGCCTGGACACCGCCCTGGCCTCGGGCAGCACCGATGCGCTGGTCAGCGTGGTGCGCCAGCTGTCGGCCGCCACCTCCGCCAGCAGCGCTTCCGGCGCCACCAGCGAGGAGGCGGTGGCTGCGGCCACGGAGCAGGCCGAGAATGCCATGGGCGCCATGGAGAGCCTGCTGAGCGGCGAGGGCGCCACAGTGGAGGAGACACTGGGGGTGGCTTCGGCAGGTGTGTGTTTGGTGTGATGTTTGGTGTGTGTGTGTGCGCGCGCGCGCGCCAGGTCACGATGGAGGCAGTGAAGGGGACGAGGCAGTAGCAGCAGGCTGGCTGGCTTGCCGCTATCCTGCACGAGCTCATGACCGCTCATGGCTGGCTGTCCTGTGCGCCCTGCCTCCCTGGCCTTGCACCTGCAGCATCCTCCCTGGTGTCTTCTTCTGTGGAGCTGAGCCACGCGCTGGCCGACAGCGCAGTGAACGTGAGCGGCTGTGCCGTGGGCACCACCACGCTTGTTGCCGCCATGTTTTGTTACCGTATTGTGTGGTTGCAGGCACCTGAACCTCGGCTGCTGCGAGCATCGCCTCACCTGCCTCCCTTCCTGCCCCCTGCCTCCCGCTCCCTGGCTGCCCGCAGGTGGCGGTGTCTGTGGTGGACGCGATTTCGGACCCCACCTCCACCACCACCCTGCTCCAGGCAGCCGACCTGGACAGCCCCGTGAACATTGTGGGCGCCTGCGCCGCCATCCTGGTGTACGAGGCGCCCTCCCCCGGCGCCCGCCGCCGCCTGCTGGATGCCGAGGACAATGCCACGCTGGCAGAGGCGGCGCTGGATGCCCTCACCCGTACTTTCCACGTGGCGTCGGGCGTGCAGACCGCCCTGCTGGCCTCCATGGTGGAGGGCGAGGCGGCCTCGGTGGGCACCGGCGGCCTGGTGGTTGCCGCCGCGCTGGCCGACCTGGCGGGCCTGACGGAGGCGGTGGAGTATGCCATCGGCGACAGTGGTGCCGCCGTCACCCTGCTCGACGGCTTTGCCGCCCTGGCCAACTCCGAAGGTGGGCGGAGGCTGGGTAGGGGTGGGGGCGCACCTGCCTGCTTCTCTGTGCTTGCAATCACCCAACTGCTGAGCCCCCGAGCCCTTCCATGTGTCCGCCCCTTGCAGACTCCACCCTCCAGCTCATGCTGGCCCACCAGGTGGACGCATCCCTGCTGTTCGAGGTGGTCAGCACCAGCGACGCCACGGTGCCCACCCCCTCTGCTCGCCGCGCCCTGCTGACCACCGCCCCCGAGGTGTCTGGCGCCGCGTCGACCACCGTGGTCAGCGGTGAGCCCTGTTGGGGAGCAGCGGCGTTAACTTTGAGGACAGGGCTTCTGTGCTATGTGCATGCCAGCCGTGGGAGGGCGGCAGGGGACTTGACTGGGCTGTGCATCAGCGCATGACGTGCACATGCATGCTGTGGTGCCGCTGCTCCTGTGCCAACCCTCAGGCTACGTCAACTTCACCTCCTCCCTGGATGGCATCGGCACGGTGGCGGGCCAGGCCATCGACATCAGCCTGCCCCTGAACGACGCCTATGACGCCGGCATGGTGCGCTGCAGCAGGCACCAGCGCCAGCCAGCCGTGCCTGCTGCGGCCTACCGAGCCCTGCTGCCGGCCGCACCATGCACTGTGCCTCCCTCCCTGCCCCTGCAGTCCACGATGTGCCTGCGCCTGGACTCCTCCGGCTACTGGCGCTCCGACGCCATCACCCTCACCTCTGTCGGTAGCGGCGTGGCCCACTGCGCGCTGTCCAACCTGAACAACCAGCAGGTGGTGGCAGTGCAGTACGAGGCGGTGGAGGGTGCAGTGCCTGAGACCCCGGCGCCCGGCAGCCCCAGCCCCAGCCCCGCCAGCCCCAACCCCAGCCCCAGCCCCAGCCCCAGCCCCAGCCCGGCAGATGACACAACCGAGGTAGGCAGGCAATGGTTCTCTATTCAGCGGCTTGTGCGCTAGATGTGCGCAGGCAGACCCTGGCTGGAATCTCACTCGCTGCATCGTCTTGCCCACGGTGGTGCAGGAGGTGACCGTCACCGTGCCGCAGGTCACCTTCACCGCCCGCCTCACTGCCTTCACCCCCGAGACCTTCACCCTGACGGTTCAGCAGCAGTACATTGCAGCGCTGCAGGCCGCCAGCCCCACCGTAGACACCCTCATCATGCTCACCAACATCAGGGCCGGTTCCGTGGTCGTGGTGAGGAGCCTTGTGCTGCTTGGCGCTGCTAGCGGCATGCCTACTGGCCGCCCCTGAGCCCAACTGAACGGCGCCTTACATCCCGGCTGGCCACCATCTTTCTTTTTGCACAGGATACCATCATTCAATTCCTGGTGTCCAACGGCAACGCGGCAGCCGCCGACGCCCTGGCCGCCACCTTGTCCTCCAACCCCTCCAGCCTGCTGCCGGCCAACGTGTGGGGCAATGTGACCGTCACTAGCCTTGCGCAGGGCACCGTCAGCATCACCATCAGCGAGGATCTGCTCAGCGCCCCCGACAACGAGACCTCCTCGAACACCACCGCCCTCATCGCTGGGCTCGTGGGCGGAAGTGAGCAGCTGCTGCTGGGCTGCAGGCTGCTGCCGCTTGGTCTCCGTGCATGGGATGCGTTGCACCAACACGTCGCCCTGCGCACCCTCCTGCTTGCAGTCGGCGGCGCCATCCTGCTGGCGGGCGTGGCCATCTGCATCTGGAAGCTGCGCAAGCCCAAGACTGCCAACAGGGTCTCCGTCGAGGCCGAGATGATGGACAGCCAGCCCCAGAGCCCCATGTCGCCCATCACCCCCTCGCCCTTCCTCCAGGGCGCCCATACCGCTCCCTTTGCGCCCTCGGCACCGCTGGCTTGAACCGCCGCCGGTGACCGCTGACTTGCCGCCGCAAGGCTGGCACGAGGGGCCTGCTATTGCCAGCAGCGCCCTTAGCTGATTACGACTCACACCAACAACCATGTCCTCGACCACTATTCAACGAATGCCGTTGCTTTTCCGCTGCCGCCGCAAAACACGGCGCAGTGTTCCGACCTTGTTTGTTCTCAATTTGAAACCTGCCACCCCCTCGACTTGATGCTTGAAAAGTCGCTTGAAACACTCAACACAAACAGCGGAAGGAGCCAGGGCGCCGCTTCGCGGGAAAGGCTCTGAGACAGCGTGGGTATGGCGGGGCGGGGAACACCAGGCGCAGAACTGCTTGCACAGCACTCTCCGTCCTTCCAGAGTGCCTTCTTCTTCGGCCAAGTTTGCACACATAACCTGTTGGCTTCCCTGCTCTGCCAACGGCATGTGCACAGCAATAATGCAACATGGGCGTTGCAAAAGTTGCATGACAGACACCTGCCTGAGGGTTGTAGGCACTCGTGCGGCTTCAAATCATCCAGCGAATGCGCTATGCCGGAGAATGGGGCGTTTGAAAGCTGCCCGCCGTTTTCAAGGCGCCGATATGTACTGCTGGCGCGCGAGCCACACACATGTGCCCTCGCCTGAGCACGTGTTGCAGTGCAGTGGCAGCCCCCTTCTGAACAGCAGGCGATCTGCTGCCGACTGGCTGGGCCACCACCCTCCACCCGTTTGCACCAACTCGGTGCCTACGGGGATCCTGCACGGGTTTTGGGGCCACACCATGCGCGTCGCGTGTGTGAGGACGACGCCTTGCGGCATTCCCGCCCGCCTGCGGCGTGGAACTCTCCATGTTCGCAGTGAGCCCCCGGCCCGCGTTTGTGCGTCCTTGCATCGCTGCGACCAGCCTCTGAACGCAACTCCCGCGCCCCCTGCTGCAGGTGAGGCGGCGCAGGTAGCGTCAGCGCCTGCTGGCGCCGCCGCCGGCGACCTCCCCGCCGCCCTTCAGCTGCGCCTGCAGTTTGGGGTGAAGAACATCCCGCACCCCAACAAGGCGCACTACGGCGGCGAGGACGCTTTCTTCGTCAGCGAGCTGGGGGGCGGGGCCGCGGGCATCGCCGACGGCGTGGGCGGGTGGCAGGAGAGCGGCATCAACCCGGCAGACTACTCCAAGTCCTTCATGGCCACCGCACGTCAGTACCTGGAGGTGAGTGGGCACCCCAGAAGAACCGGGCTGTGCTGTGATGTCTCAGGACAGGCAGGCAGGCAGGCAGGGAGCCCCTCAGCATCCCCCGCTCTATGCAGCCGCTCGTTGCCGCCTCGCCGCCCACACCGCGCTGCTGCTGGCCCCGTGCCGCGTGCAGGAGTGCGCCAGCCTGTACCCTGAGGTGTTGTCCTCGGGCGAGTGGCGCGCCCAGCAGGAGCAGCAGGCCGCCGCCGACGGCGCCGCCGCCGCAGCGGAGCCGGCGCCGACGGCGGCGGCCTCCTCGCTGGCCAGCGTGGGCGGCGGCGAGCCTCGCACCGCCGTGGAGGCGCTGGATGCGGCGCACCGCAGCACGCGGCTGCCCGGCTCCGCCACCGCCTGCGTGCTGCGCCTGGATGGGCGCACCGGGGAGCTGGATGCCGCCAACCTGGGCGACTCTGGCTTCCTGGTCATCCGGGACGGCCAGCTGCACTTCCAGTCACCCGCCATGCAGCACTTCTTCGACTGCCCGCTGCAGGTGGGGTGTGTGGAGTGGGAGGGGGTGCTGCGCGGCACGCCGTGGGATGCTGCGGTGCTGGGTCGGGGCAGGCTGCTCGTGAACCGGGGCACGCCCCGTCCCAGCCACGAATTGCCTGCTTGCGGAGCCTGACCCCTCCCCCCTGCCCCTCCCCCCATGCCCCCGCCCCCAGTTTGGCATGCCCCCCGACACCGACTACGCCCAGGACGCCGCCGTGTTCAGCCTCCAGCTGCAGCCGGGGGACGCCATTGTGCTGGCCACCGACGGCCTGCTGGACAACCTGCCGCAGGAGGAGATTGTGGGGCTGGCGCCGCGCAGCGCGGGCGAGGTGCAGGCGGCGGCGGCGGCGCTCGCGGCGGCGGCGGCGCGCAACGCGGCCGACCCCGAGTACGAGAGCCCCTACACGCGGGGCGCGCTGCAGGAGGGCTTCGACATACCCATCTGGAGAAGATCG